TTTATAAATGTATGAATTATATGGTGAAAAACTGACTTTGAAAAATAAATCTGTTCTTTTTTTCTTATAAAAGTCTGAATATTGGTGGTAATTTTTGACTGTGTAACTTTACAAACGGCAGCCCATAATAAAGTAAAATAAAAGTAATAAGCAGGCAGATTGTTGTCATTATAATAATAAATAAAAAGACTGGCACACTGAGCGGTGACGGACTGGAACAGCAGGGAACTATCTTGACTCGTGTAAACACRGTGTCAGTGCTGCTCTCTGATTGGCTGCAGGAAAAAGAAAGGAAGTATTTATTTGTCTGCGGACTTTCATTGGAACAGAAAGTTGAAGATAATTAAGCGCAGTTGTCTTTTCWTAACTTCTTATATCCTACAGAAACTAAGCAAAGAGACAAGAATGGCCTCCTTCAACAAAGGTCCTGCTTATGGATTATCAGCAGAAGTGAAAAACAAGGTAAGTCTGTTAATTTATCATAAATGATAGTTTTGAACATTTCTCCACATTTCATGAGGCGCGAGCTGAGCAGTCACCTGGACTCCATTTTGACTTGTGTCAGGTTTGAAGAGAGGACAGAAGACAAGAGACATGTCAAAGTCATGTTTATCTTTAGGAAACTGAGAGTTTAAAACTGAAAACTCAGAGCACAACGCAGTGATTTACTTTGTTTCCTCCTGTTCGGGAGGAAACAAAGCTAAATTCAGGGCGTTGTCCCGTAGCTACGAAGTTTTGTCGTGGCAACCTTGTTTTCGTCTTTTTCAGCAGTTTTTCTCAGTTTACGGCCGTGAGAGCTGCGGTGTAACGGTGTTCTGCCTCTAATCTCGAGCTGAAACCCGGGACTGTTGGTGCCTGTCGTGTTGGTGTCTGTTAGTAAAATATCTCCTGAGCTGCTCTACAGGTTTTAATGAAACTTTAGGATTCAGTGGAGCCAGCCTGTGGGTGCCTCAGCCTGCTGACTTTTAAAAACACACAATCCAGTTTATAAAAAACATAAAAATAAAGTGTTAATAAAATAAATTGGATGTGTTATACTGACGGTGTTACTTCAGGTGTTTCTCATTGCACAAGCTCTGAATAATTAAAGTGTTAATGAGGGYCTCGTTATGGTGGGCCTCATTAGTTTAGTTAAATTTGACTTTTCAGGTTTAACTTTGACTAAACAGAAAATATCACGTTCCTCGTCTCATTGCTAGGACCGAGTACTTTAAAAAACAATAACTGAGCTCTACGTGGTGTTTCATGCATAGAAACATTATTTTCAAGCTTGGGTTATATTTGACGCGATGCACAGGGCGTGAAGGGGTTTGCGTGAAAAGTGACGCAATCGTGGCATCCCCGCCCCCGCACGTTGTGTCCTGGCGCGTGGTCGTGCACCTCCGAAATTTTGAAGCTCCACAAAGTCTGCGCACCACTGGTCGTGAAGGTGGTCTCACTGAACAGGTCCAAACGTACCAGCATCTGTATGATCCCTCCATGAGAGACTGTAAACACAACCAGAAAACTGAAACAGTAACGACTTTAAAGAAAGATGAGTTAATGTGTTGGACAACAGTTTGTGATCCTGGAGGAAACAAACCAGTGTGGCTCTCTGAGTTCATGAAGCACAGAGGAACAGATGATATAAAAAAGGTAAATATTGTTACTTTATGTGTGACGTCAAGCGTTTTTCCTGACTACTCTTCAGCTGGTTTGGCACCGTGCTGCCGTCTGTCGGTGACAGGAGAACAGTGATAACATGAACGTCAACCATGTTTTCACACAGCGCACGGCTCGGAGCACGACTGTAACCCATCTTTAACAGGTTCCTCTTATAAACCCTGAACAGTATGACGTGTACATCTGACTAAATGTGTACTAAATAATACTGAAGTACTATTAAAGAGTAAAACTTATGGTGGAGTTGTGGGAAGTCTTGAATGCTCCCACTTTCCAGTGCCCCTTTAAAACTAGTGCCTCTGCAGCACGGCTTGGTTCGGCTCGGCTCGGCTCGGTTCGGCACAGTTCGGTTCGGCTCGGCACAGTTCGGCTCGGCTCGGTTCGGCACAGTTCGGTTCGGCTCGGTTCAGTTCAGCACAGTTCGGTTCAGCTCGGTTCGGCACAGTTCGGTTCGGCTCGGTTCGGCACAGTTTGGTTCGGTTCGGCACGATTTGGCTCGGCTCGGTTCGGCACAGTTCGGTTCGGTTCGGCTCGGCTGGGTTCATATCGGCTTGGCACAGTTCGGTTCGGTTCGGCACAGTTCGGCTCGGCTCAGCTCAGTTTGGCTCGGTTCGGCACAGTTCGGTTCAGCACAGTTCGGCTCGGCTCGGCTCGTTTCGGTTTGGCTCGGCTCGGTTCATATCGGTTCTGCACAGTTCGGTTTGGCTCGGCACAGTTCGGTTCGGCTCAGCTCGGTTTGGCTCGGTTCGGCTCGGTTCGGTTTGGCTCAGTTCGGCTCGGTTCGGTTCGGCACGGTTCGGTTCAGCTCGGCTCGTTCAGTTTGGTTCGGCACAGTTCGGCTCGGTTTTGTTCGGATCAGTTCGGCTCGGTTCGGCACAGTTCGGTTCGGTTTTGCTCGGTTCGGCACAGCTCGGCTCGGTTCGGCACAGTTCCACACCTGTTCCATCATTCAGGATTTATGCAGCTGGCTCCCTGTTCAGACCAACTCCATCGAGGCGCTGGCCTGAAAACGTGACGTCAGAACACTGATGGTCACTGGTTAGGGGGCGGGGTCACTGGTTAGGGGGCG